TTCCCATGTAGTTGACTCATAGCCAACCCACTTCACCTCAAATTCGCGCACGGGTCTGTTGACATTGGCGTTCTGTCATTCAAAATCGCTTCCACCTCAAATTCACCGGCAACTTCATCTGGCGGCAAGCTGTCTTCAGGCAACAGCTCTTCGTCGAAGTCAAATCTCGCTTCCTCGGCAACATCTCGAGCTAGTCGCGCCTTTGGGCGATCACAATATTCGTTTACAGCCTTCAGTCGAGAGACGTGCACCACTGGGTAGAACCGATACCCACTTTTGGTAACTCGAGCTCGTACGCGAACTCTTCGACCTTTCGCTTCACTCAGAAGGGACCACGCCATCGGTGAGCCGGCTCCTTAACTAGTCCTGGCTTCACTCGCTCCGTATACAGCCAAACTCGGCTTCCAGGTCGAAAAAGAGACTTTGGTTCCGAGTCATTGTCGGACGAGTCATCGTTCACACTTTTTGGTATCACGGCTTGCTCTTTACAGCCGAGCTTCTCGTTATGAATTCTAGCGCGTCGGGCCTTCTCTGCAGCTTGGTATTCCTATGCCATTTCAAGAGGAATCAGCTGCAGGCGGTTAATAGCACGTCGCCAGGCTAGTGCCTCAGTCTGCTTACCAATACCTCGCTTCAGAGAGGTCGGCATTGCTCGTAGCGTCGTATGGGCATCCAATCCATGCACCAATTACAATGGTGTCTCGTTCCTGGTCATATCATGAGAGTTGTTGATCGCAACGATTAGTCGCTAAGCGATCTCATCCCAGTCTTGCTGCAACGGCTCTTCCACATAGCCCTTGACAGACTGCATCACGGTCCTGGCCGACCGCTCTTGCTGTTGCTGTCCATTTGCTTGTGAGCGATAGCTCCGTGTCGACCTTGACCGTGCTTGTATTAGCTCGGCGAAGGCCTGGAAGACCTCGCTCATAAAGCGTGGGTCTCGGTCGTGACGAATAAGAGACGGAGCACCAAACACCAAATCGTCTATAGATGCATACTTCAAACACCTTTGCCACAGTCAGGGCATCGGTATCCGACATCATTTAGTGATCACAAACCCAGTAAACGAGCACTGCCATAACAACAGGGCACTGTACCCTCGACGAGATCTTGGCAGAGGGATCACAAAGTCCATTGACACTACCTGAATGGTCGCTCTGCGAGCACATTGCCAGGTGAGTAGCCTATGAGCTACGGCAAGCTCTTACTCGAACTGCAGTCGAGGCATGATTTCACATGTTTCTCCCCATCTGCGTAGAGACCAATCCAGTAGTAGTCGTGTTTACTCTCTGGTAAGAGCTAACGACACCTTAGTGCCCTCCTTCGATGGAATCATGACAGTTGTGCAGCACCTCTTGGATCATTGTGCTTGGCACCACGCGTCTCAAAGACATCTCAGGCGAGTTTTCATCGACCTTTCTTCTGCTCACACCCGTGTAATACAAAACATTGCACTTGATAGCACAAAGTTGTCTGCCCACTTCCAGGCTTCCCGAGTCTCTTTGTACGTCATCGTGGTGGTTTCACCTCTCAGAATAGCCATCAGGTTCGACCACATCAGCTCCTCATTCTGGGCCTGGGCGATACGACGCCTTTGCTCTTCCTGGACTGTAACCGGGTCAATGTCATCGTCTGTTGGGCCGTATCGGACTTCAGCATTTGGTCGTTGCGCTTGCATTGCTGAGTCCCCGGTGGCTGTCTCAGTTGTCTCAGTTGCCGCAGTATTAGTCGTTCCTTCAGGACCTCCGTCCTCGAAGTGCACTCGTTTCTTCTTGGTCTTGGTCTAACTTCGAGTTGTAGCTGAGACTTCGGCGCGTTCTTGGTGCGCGAAATCAGCAAAGGGCTTGCGTTGTAGCAGGATATCGCTGTCCATAGCGTGAATGTAGCGTGTCTTCCGTCTAGAATTTGAGCGAAAGTCTCGGAACTCGTGTTTTCGACCTTGATGTCGTCTGAAGACGGCTCATAGATCATTTCTTGGATTCTGTTCAGTTCTTTGAGCTCAGGCTTGCGGTGGCCGTTGACCACCACCTTAGACACCTTCGATTCCAATGCTTCACCAGCGAGCGAGTCAGCCGCTGCGTTGTACTCACGCACTACGTGCAGATATCGAACTGACTTGAGCTTCGCAACGAGTTCTCAGTGGCGGTTCAGGAGTGTCATTAGCGAATCCTTACGGCATGCGATCACCCCTAGTGATTGCTGGGTTGCCAACCTCGAATCTCCAACAATGACTAGCTCCTCAGCACCATGTTCTGGGGCTGCTATCGTACATGCCGCTGTGCCATATTCACCGTAGTTTGCTCGAGGTAGGCACTTCCAGCGATCACTATCTGCCACTCCGGAAGCTTCCACACTATCCGTGGGCAGCTACCGTAGCCACCATTCTTCTATGTCTTAGCGAACCATCAAATGAGACCACAAACCCTTCATAGTCATGTGGTAGCTGAGCTTACAGCAGACTTGGGCCCCCGAGTACTCGGTGAACCTTTATTAGGTGGTGCAACGAGTGCTAGCGAGTCGTCGAAGTCCACGAAGTTAGTGATCGTTGACTGAAGCAATTGAGTAAATACGCAATCCTTCTCCCTAACTAACTGCACTTTCTATTACCATGGTGACAACAGCACCGCAAACTGCATTGCTCGACCGAAAAGTGACTTAGAATTGTGAACCCACCTAAGTGTAGAGAATCGGGTGTACACATGCAGTGTCTTTCCCGCCAGCTGGGTGTAACAAACCTTGAGCAACAGCAACAAAGCTAGTACTTCCTCCTCTGTCGACTGTCGAGTGATAGTTCATCTCAACATCCTTGAGGACTCGTCCGCAAAAGCGGACAGGATGTAGTTTGTCGTCGTGCATCTGCATCAAGGTTGCACTTAACGCACACTCGTTGGCGTACAGCATGATGTGCACCTCTTTCTTCGCATTGAAATGTCGTAGGATAGGGGCTTCAGCTACTTTTCGTTGCAGTGCAGTAAAACTTCCTTTGGCCGCAGCCAAGTCACCCCTTTCGAAGAAATCGTCTTCCTTCAATTGATATATCGCGGCTCCCTAGACTGCGAAGTCTTGGATGAAGCGACTGTAGTAGTTGAGAGAGCCGAGGAATTGTTGTATTCCTTTCTTCGCCTAGGGGAACGGTAACTTGGTGATGGCTGTCATCTTTTTGTGTCAGCTCGTATTCCTTCTGGCGACACCTCGTGAGAGAGGAAGTCAACCTTGGACTGGCAAAAGATGCTTTTGGTAAAGTTGAGACTGATCCTGCATTCTTCAAATCGCGCCAGCAACTTGTCTAGTGTGTGCAAGCAGTCGTTAAAGTAGTGCCACCGAAATAAATGTCATCTATAAAGGAACGACGCTGGAACACCGGGACTAAGAACGATTCGTCCGGTTCATTAGTCGCAAACATGCCTGCGTATGGATCGTTCACCATCCGTAACACCGGATTCAGCTCCGACGACGCCTGTCGATCCGCATCAAACTTGGTCCGGGTCGCCGTCAGGGTAAAATCTGAGTCATCGTCGAGTAATCGTTGGTGTTTAGCAGCTTTTTCAGCGAGTTTCATTCGTTCAGCATATCGCCCCCATCCACATTTAGGCTGTACAAAGCCTCAGAGCGCATTATCGATCATCATTTGGTAGATCATGGTAGCATTCTTCAGTCCGAATGGAATTCGGAGCCACTCAAAGTGCCCCAACGCACAAACGAACGCTGAAGTCTTGCGCGCACGCATCATCATCATGATCGCCCAAAATCCGCTTGTGGCATCCCACGAACAGAACCACAAGTAGTTCTCCAGCTCGGTCAACAGGTCGTCGACCAGAGGCATCGCGTATTCCATGATTGCAGTGACCGCATTGATCATCTTATAATCGATGCATAGCCGAATATCTTGACCGTTCATTGTCAGCACAATCACGACGGGCGACGCCTATGGACTGTCCGAGATCGCAATGAGGCCAGCCTTCAGCAGCCTTTTGAGTAGCTCGTAGAGTTTCTGCAAATGCCTTAGTAGAATTCGCCTCGCTCGTTGCTTAAATGGTGCGTGCCCTTGGACATCGATGTCACATACCACCCCATACGCTGGGGGTGGCAATGCATTGCCGCTTGAAATCATGATCGCTTCGTGCTTTTTAAGTACATCGTCGAGTCGTCGTTGCTGATCGCCGGCGAAACTCGAGTTCTTTACATTCGGAGCAGTATAATCAAGCTCCGTGACAGAGGGCTCTGTCAAGTCAGGCAAGAATGCTAGTTCTTGAGCATAGTCCTCCAGCGATATGTAGTTCGCTTCATGTCGTCGTCCGCTGGAACGTCGTTGTCTTCAATGGACAGTACATGCATAACACACATCAAAGTGTGTTCCAGATCGGCGACCACCGTGTCAGGTGATTTCTCGTCGCGGTGAGTTTCAGGCAGTGGGTTATTGTCACCACTATCGACATCAAAACACTCAGTTGGAGTAGGGGTTTACGCTCCTAATGCGATTGCAGCTCTAACCGGATCATCGCCCACTGGCGAGCCGTCGGTCGCACTGTCGACGCTCCGAGCCACAGGCTCCATGCTCCAGTGTTCGTCTTGTGATAGTGAATCGTCACCATCGCTTGAGTACTCGTCGAGTTTCTGCAATATGCTAGTTGGTCATGTGTAGGGCTGTCGTTCGACGGAGGGTGGCTGTGATGCCAACCATCGTTCGTACAGCTCACACTCTAGCTTGAACCAAATTTCACCATGTGATCCAGCACAAGCCAATACCTGCCACTGCTCGTACTTCCGGGAGTCAATTTGCACGTAGCCAGCTTGCTTTGGCATAAAGCCTCGGAGTACCCAGGCTATGTGCCGGACAGTACACAACCCTGTCAGTGATGTTCGTCAATCGTACTTAAGTTGGCTGCCCTTTCCGGAACTGAATGATCGTCGGGATCTGCGCAACAGTGCGTCGTATCCAGACATCATGAGTTCCTAATAATAGTTTTCTTTTTGCAACTGAAACTCAATCCATTCACCTGCTGGTAGCTGCAGGTTCTTTGTTGGTCTACCACTGACATGCTTTCCTTCAGCCGTATCATCGTCAGCGTTTAGTGATTTCACCAGCGCTACCATTTCTTCTCCTGGAAGATTGGCCGTCGCGTTGAACAGATCCAAGCGTATTCCAGCTGGTATCATAAAGTCGGTACTTCTGATCCCGCACTGTGGTCCATGACCTAGAACTCAAACTCATAAACTGTGTTACATCCCAGAGTAACCTTGGCTTTCACTCGAGTTGTCGTTGACATCTTTCCTTCTTGAATTCCGTGTACCTCGAGTTGTCGACCGTGCTCCTAGATAGGGTCCAATCGTAGTCGTCTCGCCAACATCGTTGTGATTATACTCACGTTCGCGCCAGTGTCCAAGAGGATCGAAGTGTTTAGTGCACCACGCACGAGATCTCGCATTCTCACTCGTCGGTCGAGCCTCTCTGACGACCACCATCCCATACACACCTCAGGGAGCAACTTCACTGTCTTGGCGTGCATCGGCGAAGCTTCACCCGCTTCACATATGCTGACCAGCCAGTCATCATCCACCACCTTTTTGTAGTAGTGTCTTCATTAATCCCATACAATTTTCCTCCGTCGAGGCATACGCCATATTCTCCATTGAACTCCACATTTTTCTCATTTTCTTCGTTGTTGTTGTCTTCAGGCCATTTACACGTCCCAGTGAACGCATACAAACATTTCGCGTCCATCACCAGGTCGGCGGACTGTGGCTGCCCGGCGGGGACCAACCCAGTCTCGGTTGGCGGGCAACCTAGTTTAAATGCCCACCGAAGACAAGCTTCTGGAGCTCGGGACTAATGTTCTTCTTGTCCACATTAGTCCAGAGTATCTTGACCAGCTCGTCGAAGGCCTCGCACGTGCCGAAGTCGTGCGCTTGCTGGCACAACCGGCATCGTCGGAAACAAAAGTGGATGGAATGATTCTGTCCACCACATGCAGCGCATGGACCATAACTAGGTCTCTGAAAACCGCGTCCACCACGGTTATCATTGAACTACGAACCAGATTGAGTCGTAGGTCGATATCCGCCTTGACCAAATCCACGTGACTGTTCTCCGTTGTTTTGTGGATGCTTGTCACTCTGTGCAAATGTCCCGTTAGCAGCATTTCGACGTTCGTTGTCGATAACAGCTGCA